TGCATCACTGATGTTGACGCACCGTCTTATGCTTCCAAGAACCGATCGATCAAGTCCATCCTGAAGCAGCACGAGACCACCAAGAAGAAGAAATATCACTCGGCCGTCTGCGACTCCCGCGTGACCTTCTGCCCTCTGATGGTGACGTGTGACGGTGTGTGGGGATACGATGCCAACGTGTTCATCGCCCACATGGCTCATGCGCTGTTGGAGAAGGAGGGGTGGAAGGGTCGGGGGTTCAGTCATGTGTCTGGATGGATTCGCTCTCACTTGTCTATCGCCCTCGCGCGTGCGACTAGCTACTGTCTGCGTTGGGGAGGGAGGGGAGGCTTTGCGGGACTGGGGTGTGCTGATGGGGCGGGGATCGATCCCTCCTCCCCGTGAGCGTTTGACTCTGCGTGCTCATGGGACTGTATGTTTATGAGTATCACGGACACACAGACGAGTGTTACAGTTAATGCAAGTTTCCCAAATTAATTGAATCATTCAGTGTTGTAATCCAAATGACCTCAGTTCATTCTTGTGTCTGGACCTCTTCTGCTGGTCTGCAGCAGTCGCCATTCGCACAAACCAGCACAAGGACGAAAAAGTGATGCGCACTCCATCGTCACCGCTCCTACGCATCTGACTAGCTTTAGGCAGTAGTGCATGACCCATCGCAGCTCGAATTCGATGAGTTCGATGAGTTCGATCATCGACAGTCGATCCCGCTGTCCCCCAAATCCCTTTTCGGGGCCAGCTGGCCAGAAGGGCTCAAATGGACGCGTTTTCGTCGTTTCCCCGCCCTTCGCGGCCAGGCGACGCCTCGAGTGGCTCCTCATGGCCACCCACATCTGCCAAACCCGTCCCCCTGGCGCTCAAACTGACTGAGCCGCTCTTCTTGCGGAAGGTGGAGTGCACGAGGACGGAGGTGTACCTGCCCTTCGCGCGGATATCGTATCGGCTGAACCCGACGCCAGAGGAGATCGTGGTGGACGCATCTGCCGACACATCATGCGTGAGTCAGGAGATGGATGGCAATGCCCCGTGGGAAGGGGAGATCTGTGTGGTTGTTGTGTGGTTAGGTTGCCCAGCTGCAGTTCTATGGCCGCCCGAAGCAGCCACACAACGATGGTGATGGCGCCAGCCCTCGCTCAGGTAACATCCATCCAGACAACCACGGATGCCTGGATGCTGTCTTTCTTGGCAGCTTCGTCTGGTGGCGTGGGTGGTGCTTCTAGCTCGTCTGATGAGTATTTGGTGGCATCGCTCGTCATCCCCATATTCGCCTTCTTCGACAGTGAGTTACAACACAACCAACTGCACTGAGATGGATCTGTCTACCCTTTTCGTGTGGTGCAGCGTCCCTCTCGGACCAGCGTGTGTCGTTGATGGTGTGGGCAGCCCTCGACAGGCCCGACAACTTCGACCACACACCAGTAGGGACGCACGGAAGACGCGCACAAGTGTCAGACGACATTTGGGTGTCTGCTCGTGTGTCAGGATCTGAATAGCAACGCCGAGAATGTCAAGAACTACTTCGAAGCACAAATCAGGCGGTAAGCATCCACCACAGGACCTGACTTGTCAGCTTTTCATATGTTCTTTCCTGCCTGTCATGGTGCAGTGGGAGTGCCGTTGGTCGGCCGAAAGTCGGTCTGCTGATGGAAATGCACTCTCAGTGGAGCCTGCTGGTACGAGAGCGGAAGGCGCGGCCCGCCATGGAATGTCTGTTGATGTGTACTGTGGTGCTGTGCCATGGATGTGTCAGAGTGAGGGCGATGCGTCACACATTCGCTACAATCAGATCGCACACACCAAGATGTACCAGATATTCCAAGACGCTGTAAGAGAACCACTCACCCACTTACCCACACACACACATTTTGCCCCCATCCACATGTGGTGTGCAGGAAGAGCAGTTGCGCTTGGCGCAGCGTGACGTGCACGACGTCCATCGGCAGCTGGAGACGGCGCGCAAGGCTGCCAAAAACACAGAGAAGGCGGTAAGGCGGGCATGCAGGCTGACATGCGAACACGCACACATGCTGCTTTGTTCAGATAACCGAGGTAGCTGTTGAGAAGGAGCGGCAGATACAGACACTCAGGCAGGAGGTCAGCCAGAGAACATCAGCAGCACAAACATGCCACACACTCTCATGCATGTGTGTCCCATTTCCCCTCTTTGCAGCTGTCGTCGGCCCAGGACGAATTCGAGAAGTACAGAGCCATGAACTCACCAGACAAAGTAGACGAACTCAATAGGGTAGGTGCACCACACGCCACAAAAGCATGCAGACACTTGACACAGTCTCCTCTCTCCTTCCCAATGTCGTTCAGAGCATCGCCCGTCTGAACCTCAGCCGCAAGTCAGAGCAGCGCCGCATCCAGAACCTCCAAGCCGAGCTCGACAAGTACCACAAGATGCACTCCGAGCACCCGCCCCCCACACCGACAGCAGACACGGCCACCGCCAGGCCATCCGGCGGCAGCAGCGCCCGTGACCGTGACAAGAGCACCGTCCGCGAGCGCGAGCGGAGCAGCTCGCCCTGCCCCATAGAGCGCACCAACTCCAAGCTGCGTATGGATTTGAATCGTAGCAGCTGCCGCATATTGGAGCTGGAGAAGCGTCTGCTGAAGGCTGTGGACGAGGTCAAGTGGGCGCGGCAGGAGGAGGCAGACAAGCAGAGGAAGAGCGTAGAGTCACTCAGGGGACAGGTGGGCCGGCGGGAGGGGCATGGGAGGGGGATGGATGAGAAGCACACCGTCTGTGTGTGTTGTTGGTTTTCGTGGTCAGCTGAAGGTGTCTGAGGGCGAGAAGAAGCTGCTCAGGTCGATGCTGCGCGAAAGAGAGCAGGTGGGGAGGGAGGGAGGGAAAGAGAGGGACACGCTGCAACGCATTGTGTCGTGTTCATCACTTCAGGAGAGCCGCGAGCTCGACCGACGGTTCGTGGCCATCTCTGGCGAGGTGGCACACGCGCAGGTGCGTCAAGCCACAACCCACCGACACATGCATGGGAGCTTCTCTTCAATGTCTCGCGTTGCCTGCTCTCCTATCTCTCTCTCTCTCTCTCGCAGGAGTGTTTCCGACAGCGTGAGCGTCAGCTGTTGGATGAGATCTTCCGTCTGCAGCACATCCTAAGCCATGGCGCACCGCCCCCAATACCAACTGAGCACCTGCAGCAGCAGCCTCCATCCAACATCCCCCAGCCGTCGTCACGTGAGCACCTTATGGGCGTCATCAACCACAGCAAGAAAGTACTCAAGCGACACGGGTGAGTTGCAAGCCCACTGCCACTCAGAGACAGAGCAAATAGAACTTTTAGCGCCTGTGTCTGTGTCACCAGGATGCCATCGCATTCATCGCTGACACGTCTGACACAGCCCCGTTCCTCCCGCCACCCCTTCTCGCCCGACGAGCCCATCCCAGTCGCACTGGGCGTCGCCAACACCGACACGCAGAACAGCAACCCACTCGACGACACTTTCGACCAGCGACAGCAGCAGCAGCAGCAGCAGGATGAAGAGGATGATGGATACGACGATCACCCTCAGCAGTGGCGCGGGCCGCCAGTGCCCGGCCTGTTGGTGAGCGACCGCCACGATTGGGATGGGACGCAGGGAGGAGAGGAGATGGATGGGCGCGGGGGAGGGGGCGGGAGGGAGATAGAGGGGGCCGCAGAGGAGGGTCCTGTATGTGGTGATGATGGGAGTGGTGTGGACATCGAGCTGCCGCGGGAAAAAGATGACCATCACAAAGACCACGAGGAAGAAGGTCAGGCAGAAGATGACCACATACATGGACTCCCCTGCAGTGGGGTCACATTCCTCCTTCTTTCCCTGCTCTTTGCAGTACCGGAGGCCCCTTCGGCGCCGCCTGTGCCCCAGACCGACAACGACCCGCTCCCCCCATCTGCCGACGAGGCAGCTCCCGTCACGCCATTCTCAGCGGCCGACCAGTCCTCGCCCCCTCACTCATGCATCATCGTCAACAACGACGCATCATCCAGTGCGCCGGTCACACAGCCGCTGCCATCGTCGCAGCATGACAGGGAGGACTGCGAGGAGAAGGTCGAGCTCACGTCGGAGGACGACCTGCTCTCCCGTCGGCCGACCACCCAGATGGACGAAGTCATGTCCGCGGCTGGTGGACAGAGGCAGCCGCGGCAGGAGGAAAGGGGCGACAGTAGTGGTGGCGGTGGTGGTGGCGGGGACATGGCGGGCAGCAGGGGGGCGAGCATGGCGCTCATCCACGACGGCAACGGGCAGTGGCAGGTGGCCCCGTCCTTTCTGGCCCAGCCGTCCTTCCCCCCGACCAACCTGAGCAAACTCAAGGCGAGCCTGTCACCCAGGGGCACACACGCATCATCAAGGGGCAAGAAAGACAAGGACCGCGGCCTGGCTGCTGCATACTCGCCCCGTAGCTGGCGTGAGAGCAGTGGGTCGCCGAGAAGGGGCGGGATGGCTGGGGGGAGGGGCGGCTTCATGCGCGGCGGCAGCAAACACAAGGAGACCGTCCTGTATTCCAAGAGCGCCGCGGCCAAGGGGGTGCTCACCCAGCCGAAGGAGAACCCCTTCATGTGAGCAACGCCCAACGCATACATCCGCCACATGTCTCTATCCATGTGTTCATTCTGGCTGTGTCGTTGCCGTGTCAGGATCAGTGACGACGACGGAAAGAGGCCCAAGAGGAGCCCCTCATCCCCTAACTTCCCCGGCAGCTCCCACGAAGACACTGTCATGCCCTCACCAGCAGCACGGCAGCAGATACCAGGCCACACCAGCCACCAGCAGCACCACCAGAAGCAGCAGCAAAACGTCCAGGTCATCCCTCCCTCCATCCCCTCCCACTTGGCCCACCCTGTGTGGCCGCCGCCCCACACGCATTACCCTCACGCGTATGCCTACGTGCAGCAGCCGCCCCTCTACCCGCCCCCGCCCCCCACTCGGCAGCGATCGAGTCCGCAGCTCGGTCTGCGGGAGATGGACGGCGACAGTCCGTGGGCTGCGGTGCATGGCGAGGCGCTGCCGAAGGCACAGAGGAACTGAGCAGGGAGTAGGTAGAGATGGATTGAAATGTGTATAATAGAAGGGGAGTGGCTACGTAGTTCTGCCTGAGCGAGGGTGCTGGGGGTAGCTTGGCGGACACTGACTGCTGAAGGACAACATCGATGCTTTGTGAAGACACGATATGCGAAGATCTCACGCAAAGTTTCATGACGATTGCTGCCCAGGTAATATATACACACATTCATAGATGCATCGTTCGAGCAGCTGACCGACCAGTCAGTCCACCACGCTTCATCCATTGTGTCCCCAGCACCGTGCACTGCACACACGCACATGCACGAAACAAAGGCTACCCTCTCTATCTATCTAGCTGACTAGGCTTTGCTCCGCCATCATGCGATTGGCCCAGCCTACTGCCGGCCGCTCACGCCTTGACGCACGACTCGCAGCAGTCACCAGGCCTGACAGATCAAAACAGGAAGGACCACACACACTCGTCGCTCTATATGGTGGTGGGATTGGATTCCTCTCTGCAGACCAGATCCCTTACGAGAACTTGGTCTTGAGTCCATTCTCCTCGACGCACCACGGCATTGCGAAGCACCGCACGTTGATGCAGTTCTCGTGCGCTGCAGAACACACACACATCGCCGTACGCCCCGCCATCTTTCAGTGTGTTCTGCTCTCTCTCCCGTGTCACCTTGTGCGTGCGGCTCGACGAGGAATGGGCTGTCATACGAGTTGTCCATCTCGAAGGGTCCTTTGCACACCGGGCAGCACTGCTCAGGAGTGCGCTTCAGCTCCAGCGGTGCGAGGCACTTGATGTCGGCACACTCCACCCTCGCACAACCGGGGGGAGGCGGGGGAGGCACTACTCACAGAGAGTACAAACAGATGCAGCCAGCCATGTGGATCTGTGAGAGATCTCGGTGAGATCTGTGTTCAGAAGAAGCGGCGAGCGGTGCGCACCTTTCCATGGTTCCTCAGATCCCTCGACGGTGCCGTCGTTCCAACGGGTGTCCCGCTTCAAACGAAGGGCACAGCACACCTGCATGCCATGGACTCACCCACACACAGGGATCCATTGATGAGATCTGCAGGGCTGTCTGGGTGTGTGGAATGTTGCGGGTTATCTTACGGTGGCGAGGAAGGTCAACGAGATGGCGGCCTTGACGAACATCGGGAAGACCTTTCAACCCTGCGGGATGTTTGGCTTTTGCTCCTCAAGGAGACCGGCCAATTTACCTGCTTCGGCATGTAAATTACTTGGCCGAGCACAAGCCCTGCGTGTGAGCTTTGACGTTGACGATCGGTATGGAGGATCAGAAGTGCTTCATCTGCTGGGGCGGCTCGGCGGAGGGCATACTGGAAAAGCCGTGCAAGTGCCGCATCGCACATCGGGAATGCCTTGAGAAGTGGCGTACCATTAGTAAGCCAGCGAGTGAGAATGGATGGATGGATGCATCATGGAACCGTGGCTTCATTCGTGTGTTCTCTCTCTCAGGCCAAGATCCGACCCGCTGTGAGATCTGCAGGAGGTACATGAGCGGCGCGTCGGACAGCATCACAGCCATCCATCCATCCATCTGCACCGAACGACCGACTTCATTCTCTGTGTTCATTGCGTGTCCGCACTGCAGCGTGTACCCGACGGTCGCCCCGCTGGCCGCGACGCTCCCGTCGCTGCGGGACCTGTGGGACTTCGTCTTCTTCCGCCTCATGGTTCCCATCTACTGCGCGACCATGCTGCTGACATACGCGAAGGGCTTCATGGACGGCGAGCGGATGGCCACCGGCCACCCCGTCTGCGTCGACCCGGTCTGGATGTGCAGCTTCTGGATGCAGCACCCTGACCCGTACTTCCGCTCGGGCGGGGCGAAGGTCTGCCTTGGCTTCCCTTACGACGCCTTCCGGGCAGCATACGGCGAATACGGTGCAGCATACGGCGAATACGGCCTCAAGTTCATCGACGCAACGAAACATGCGCTGAGTCGCTTTTTGATGGCGCAGGCCTTGCCAGTATGTGCGGGGACACCATGCAGTCGACCGACCACAGATGAACAGCACACCAATCATATCGCCTGTGTATTTCCTCTCTTGCCCCTCTCTCTCTTTGCAGGAGCTTGTCGTCCTCTTCGCGTCGCCGTTTTTGTTCAAGCCCCCCGCCGACGTCGCCCCCCAGCTGCCCAATCCCATCTACGGCATCATGACTATCCGCAAGCTGCTTCACACCATTCCACCCGTCTTTGGCTGGCGATTCATTGTCTGGCTCGCCTTCAATGGCTACTATGCTGGGATCAGTCTGCAGATGGCAGCCGACTTCCCAAGTCAGTGTGTGCACCGAACACCCGCCTCACCTCAGCAGTGGATGTGCAATCAATGGCGTGTGTGCGTGTGTGTGACCGAAGCGGTGCCAGCCATTCCTCGGTCACCATTCCAGCTGTTTATGACAGAGGCGCTCGATGGCTTTTAGCGATAGACGACAGACAGAGCTAGATAGGAGGAGCGATGCCTGGCTGTCTGACTGTCTGTCTGTCTTGTGTGCTGTATTTGTGTGTTATGTCTTGTGTGTCGTGTGTGGTCTGACTGACATGCCCTCACTACGTCTAAGACAAGTACATACCGCGCACCCACCCAGACAGACGGCCGCAGCTCCATCCATGGGCGACCCCATCGATGTATGCCCTCACACGATTGAATTCAACAGCACCGGCCGATATATGTCATTCATTGAAACGCGTCCTCACGCACCGCACCGCACCACAGCACACATGGCCATATCGGTAGACAAAGACACACACACACACTCACAGGCCCACCAGTTCGTCCAATCAATGGGGGGATGCACACAACACGCACCACGCACTCATTAAGGCAGGCATTACGTCATAGGTGGAGAGATGGATGGATAAAGGGCACACACACACCACAGCACGGTCCACGCACACAAACCAATCATTATATAGTAGTGCACGCACCGCGCCCACAAAGGGGCCTGCCTCTCATTTTTCCCCGCTGGCTGACGAAACGAATTATACCTCGCCCGATCATCTTCTCGTCGGCGAGGCGCATCG